GACTGGTGGACTTCAACTCCCAGAATTCCTGAGCCAGCCATGCTGAGGGGAAAGGGAGAGGTTTCCAAGCTGAGCCAGGCTGGCTCAGGAATTCTGGGAGTTGAAGTCCACGAGTCATAAAAGAGCCAAGGTTGCCTACCCCTGGCCTAGGAGGCTCACCGCTTGGAACAGGAGGACTTAGGCCAGGGGTAGGCAACCTTGGCTCTTTTACGACTGGTGGACTTCAACTCCCAGAATTCCTGAGCCAGCAGGACTCAGCTTGGAAACTTCTCCCTTTCCCCTCAGCATGGCTGGCTCAGGAATTCTGGGAGTTGAAGTCCACGAGTCATAAAGCGGCCTAGGCCTAGGGCAGGCAACCTTGGCTCTTTTATGACTCGTGGACTTCAACTCCCAGAATTCCTGAGCCAGCCTGGCTCAGCTTGGAAACCTCTCCCTTTCCCCTCAGCATGGCTGGCTCAGGAATTCTGGGAGTTGAAGTCCACCAGTCATAAAAGAGCCCAGGTTGCCTACCTTATGCTAAACAATGGATATTTTTCGGCCGGGTGATAGAACGTCCTTTTTTTTGTTTTATTTTTGACCTCGGCTTGGTGGCGCACACAGATTTTGGCCTGCGCTTTTATTCTAAAAATCTTCCTCTGCCTCCTCTTCCTCTCCATCGGCGTAATCCCGCCCGACCTCTTCGTAATCCTTCTCCAGAGCCGCCAGGTCTTCCCGAGCTTCGGCAAACTCCCCTTCCTCCATGCCTTCCCCCACGTACCAGTGGACGAAGGCCCGCTTGGCGTACATGAGGTCAAACTTGTGGTCCAGCCGGGCCCAGGCCTCGGCGATTGCCGTGGTGTTGCTGAGCATGCAGACGGCCCGCTGCACCTTGGCCAGGTCTCCGCCGGGCACCACGGTGGGCGGCTGGTAGTTGATGCCCACCTTGAAGCCGGTCGGGCACCAGTCGACGAACTGGATGGAGCGCCGGGTCTTGATGGCGGCGATGGCCGCGTTGACGTCCTTCGGCACCACGTCTCCCCGGTACAAGAGGCAGCAGGCCATGTACTTGCCCCGGCGGGGGTCGCACTTGACCATCTGGTTGGCAAACTCAAAGCAGGCGTTGGTGATCTCCGGCACGGAGAGCTGCTCGTGGTAGGCCTTTTCGGCCGAGATGATGGGGGCGTAGGTGGTCAAGGGGAAGTGGATTCTGGGGTAGGGCACCAGGTTGGTCTGGAACTCGATCAGGTCGACGTTCAGGGCGCCGTTAAATCTCAGGGAAGCCGTCACCGAAGAGACAATCTGCCCGATCAGCCGGTTGAGGTTGGTGTAGGTTGGACGTTCGATGTCCAGGTTCCGGTTGCAGATGTCGTAGATGGCTTCGTTGTCCACCATGAAGGAGCAGTCCGAGTGCTCCAGGGTGGTGTGGGTGGTCAGGATGGAGTTGTAAGGCTCCACCACGGCGGTGGAGACCTGGGGGGCGGGATACACGGAGAACTCCAGCTTGGACTTCTTGCTGTACTCCACGGAGAGTCGTTCCATCAGGAGAGAGGTGAAGCCCGAGCCCGTCCCGCCACCGAAGCTGTGGAAGACCAGGAACCCTTGGAGACCACTGCACTGGTCAGCCTGGAGTGGCGAGAGAAAGGGGGTTACCGGGGCCGTCCGCTGGCATCCCAAGACAGCCAGGCTTGGCCCAGACAACGAAGCTGGCCCACCAAACGTACGACCTTGACTTGTGAGCGCAAGGGAGCCCCGGGTTTTGCTACTAAGCGAGGCCTTCGTTAAGCGAGCTTTGCCCCCTTTTATGATCTCCCTTGCCACCGTTGTTACGGGAATCGCTGCAGGAGTTAAGTCAGCGGCACGGTTGTTAAGGGAATCTGGCTCCCCCCCCGTTGATTTGGCTTGTCAGAAGGTCGCAAAAGGGGATCACACAACACTCTCCTTCTGTGTGTGGGTGTGGGTGTGTGGGTGTGGGTGAGAGAGAGAGAGAAACAGAAAAAGAGTGAGAGAGAAAGAAAGAGAAAGAGAGAAACAGAAAGAGAAAGAGAGTGAGAGAAAGAAAGAGAAACAAACAAAGAGAAACAGAAAGAGAGTGAGAGAGAAAGAGAAAAACAGAGAAAGAAAGAAAGAGACAGAGAGAGAAAGAGTGAGAGAAACAGAAACAAAGAGAAACGGAGAAACAGAAAGAGAAACAGAGAGAAAGAGAAACAGAGAGAAAGAGAAAGAGAGAAAACAGAAAGAGAAAGAAAGAGCGAAAGAAAGAGAAAGAGAAACAAAGAAAAACAGTGAGAAAGAGAAAAAGAAACAGAAAGAAAGAGAGAAACAGAAAGAGAAACAGAAAGAGAGTGAGAGGGAAACAGAGAGAAACAGAGAGAAAGAGAAAGAGTGAGAGAAAGAGAAAGAAAGAGAAACGGAGAAACAGAAAGAGAAACAGAGAAAGAGAAAGAAAAAGAGAGAGAAAACAGAGAAAGAGAAAGAGAAAGAAAGAGAGAAACAAAGAGAAACAGAAAGAGAAACAGTGAGAAAGAGAAAGAGAAACAGAAAGAGAGAGAAACAGAGAAAGAGAAACAGAGAGAGAAACAGAAAGAGAGAGATGGAAACAGAGAAACAGAGAGAGAGAGAGAGAGAGAGAGAAACAGAAAGAGTGAGAGAAAGAGAGAGAGAGAGAAACAGAGAGAGAAAGAGAAAGAGAGAGAGAGAAAGAGAAAGAGAGAGAGAAAGAGAGAGAGAAAGAGAGAGAGAGAGAGAGAGAGAGAGAGAGAGAGAGAGAGAGAGAGAGAGAGAGAGAGAGAGAGAGAGAGAGAGAGAAAGAGAGAGAGAGAGAAAGAGAGAGAGAGAGAGAAACAGAGAGAGAAAGAGAAAGAGAGAGAGAGAGAAACAGAAAGAGAGAGAGAAACAGAGAGAGAGAGAGAAACAGAAAGAGTGAGAGAAAGAGTGAGAGAGAGAAACAGAGAGAGAGAAACAGAAAGAGAAAGAGAGAGAGAGAGAGAATATACAGGTAATCTTTGACTTATGACCACGGTTGAGCCCAAAATGTCTGTTGCTGAGACAGTTGTTAAGTGATTCTTGCCCCATTTTACGACCTCCTTTGCCACAGTGGTTAAGTGAATCCCTGCAGCTATTAATTGAGCAACACGGTTGTTAAGTGAATCCAGCTTCCCTCCCCTTGACTTTGCTCCTCAGAAGTTCGTGAAAAGGGGAAGGTCACGTGACACCCCCCCGGTCATAAATGTGAACCGTTTGCCAAGCGCCCGAGTTTCGATCACGTGCCCCTGGGGATGCGGCCATGGTCGTAAGTGTGAAAAAATGGTCACAAGCCACCTTTTCCCAGGGCCGCTGCTACTTCAAATGGCCACTAAATGAATTGTTGTAAATAGAGGACTATCTGCAGTTTTCCAGTCATGCATGCATGCCAATGGACCATCTCCCCAATGGGATTTGAGGCAGCAGAAGCTGGTTATGGATCCCATTTGCTAAGGAAATTCCGCTCCGGCTCGGGAATTCTGGGAGTTGAAGTCCAGAAGCTCTAAAGTTGCCAAAGTTGGGAAACCCGCTCTAACTGGGCAGGGAATTCTGGGAGTTGAAGTCCAGAAGCTCTAAAGTTGCCAAGGTTGGGAAACCTGCTCTAACTGGGCAGGGAATTCTGGGAGTTGAAGTCCAGAAGCTCCAAAATTGCGGTCACTAAGGGGGGAAATGCCCTGGCCACTTGCCATTTTGCGGATCCTGCCCAGGACGGTGTCGATGATTTCCTTGCCAATGGTGTAGTGGCCCCGGGCGTAGTTGTTGGCAGCGTCTTCTTTGCCGCTGATCAGCTGCTCCGGGTGGAAGAGGGAGTGGTAGGTCCCTGTGCGGATCTCGTCTGCCAAGAGAGGGAAGATTAGCTGACGGGCCTAAACTCCCCTTGTGAAAATGCCGGTTGATTTGGAAAGGTTAACAGAAGGAAGATACTGCAGAGGGCCTCTCCGGTGGAAGGGGGGGGGGCTGGGCGCCCTCTGAGCTGGGTGGTCTCCTTCTGGACGTTTCATGAACCGACTAGGTGATGTCATCAGTGCTAGAAGGGACTGCAGTTTGTGGGAGGAGGAGGAGGAGGAGGAGGAGGAGGAGGAGGAGGAGGAGGACTGTGGGGTCCGTGGTGCCCTCTGAGCTGGGTGGTTTTCTTGCAGACATTTCATGACCCAACTAGGTGATACAGTCAGTGCTAGAAGGGAGGGGGTTTGCTGAAAGAAGGAGGACTGTGGGGTCCTGGGTGCTCTCTGAGCTTGCTTGTTTCCTTGCAGACGTTTCATGACCCAACTAGGTAATATCATCAGTGCTAGAAGGGAGTGGGATTTGTGGAGGAGGAGGAGGAGGAGGGGGAGGAGGAAGAGGAGGAGATCTGCGGGGTCCTGGGTGCTCTCTGAGCTTGGTTGTTTCCTTGCAGACGTTTCATGACCCAACTAGGTAATATCATCAGTGCTAGAAGGGACTGCAGTTTGTGGAAGGAGGAGGAGGAGGACTGTGGGGTCCTCCGTGCTCTCTGAGCTGGGTTGTTTCCTTGCAGACGTTTCATGACCCAACTAGGTGATACAGTCAGTGCTAGAAGGGAGGGGGTTTGTGGAAGGAGGAGGAGGAGGAGGAGGAGGAGGAGGACTGTGGGGTCCTGGGTGCTGTCTGAGCTGGGTTGTTTCCTTGCAGACGTTTCATGACCCAACTAGGTAACATCCTCAGTGCTAGAAGACCTGTGCTTGAAGGCTTCTATCCGTTGATGTTACCTAGATGGTTCATGAAACGTCTGCAAGAAAACAACCCAGCTCAGAGACCATCAAGGGCCCCACAGTCCTCCTCCCCCTCCCCTTCTCCTTCTCCTGCTCTCCACAAACTCCACTCCCTTCCAGAACTGATGGTGTTCCCTAGCTGGGTCGTGAAACGTCTGCAGGAACCAACGAAGCGCAGAGAGCACCGGGGACGCCACCATTCAGCCCTCAGCTACAAATATTCTATCGGTTTTGTAGATTGGGTTTTTTCCCCTTCCCAATCTTTCCCAACCTTTTTGTTGCGTTCACATCAGATTTGTAGCTGTTCTTTTGATGACGTGAAATTGCCATTTTTCTAACCAGTGGGTCCAATAGGGCTCAGATTGTGCCGCCGTTCAGATTTTCCGAGAACTTTCGGGAGATTGTATCAACGTTGTGTATCGCATCAGGGGGCTTCCTGCAGGTCAACACTGGGGGGAGATGACTTAATCCCCCCCCCCCCCAATGTTTGGGTTACCAATCTCCTCTCCAGTTTTCATTGAGAAGGCATGCTATTCGATAAATAAATAAATAGCATTGAATTTAGAAGAGAATGGAGCTGGGAGGGGCCTTGGAGGTCTTCTAGTCCAGCCCTCTGCTCAAGCAGGAAAACCTCTACCATCTCAGACAGGTGACTATCTAGCCTCTTCTTAACAATCTCCAGGGATGGAGCTTCCACGACTTCTGGTGGCAAGCTGTTCCACTGGTTAATTGTCCTCACTCTCAGGAAGTTTCTCCTTAATTCCAGGTTGCTTCTCTCCTCGGTCAGCTTCCAACCGTTGTTTCTCATCCTTCCCTCTGGTGCTTTGGAGAATAACGCGACCCCCCTCTTCTTTGGGGCACCCCTCAGATACTGGAATACTGCTACCATGTCTCCCCTGTTTCTTCTTTTCATAAATGAGATTAAATTTTACGAAGTTTAATACGTACATTTTATTAAAGAAAGAAAGAAACATGTCGCCAAAAAGCTTCCTAAAGACAGCGATGGATAAATAGATTTCGGCAGGAAAATTTGTTTTTGAAGGCACCAGGAAAGCTGCAGTCCAGGGATACACAGCAGCAGCTGTGGTGTATTTATTTATTTAAAAAATGAAGCTTGTGGTGTCAAAAAGATGCTCCAGGCCATGTACAATAATACCCCTTTGCATTTCCTGCAACTGTTTGGTGGCTGCTGAGAGCCGGGCTGGCCCTCCTTCACTAATCTCTCAAGCTACTCAGACCGGACCCTGCTCAGAGCGTGATAGGCCCCGACAGGAAACCTCACCATTGTTGATTGAAGCCAGGAAGTCTAAACAAGAAGACCGCTTCCCTCTTTTGTCACGGAAAGGGCACAATCGTTTTCACGGGAGCCGAAAAAGAGACTTCGTGTTTTGGGGGACGAAGGGGGCAAAAGAAATGGTTGAGGGCAGGCAAGCTTGGCTATCTAACGTGGGCTACACAGAAGGTATCTCTAGCCTGTCGAACAGAAGGACTGGGGAGGGGGGACATGATAGCTATCTTGAAGTACTTCAGGGGCTGCCCCAAAGAAGAGGGAGTCAAGCTATTCTCCAAAGCGCCTGAAGGCAGGACGAGAAGCAACGGGTGGAAACTCATCAAGGAGAGAAGCAACCTAGAACTAAGGAGAAACTTCCTGACAGTGAGAACAATTAACCAGTGGAACAACCTGCCTCTAGAAATTGTGGGTGCTCCTTCACTGGAGGTTGTTAAGAAGAGACTGGACAGCCATTTGTCTGAAATGGTAGAGGGCCTCCTGCTCGAGCAGGGGGCTGGACTAGATGACCTCCAAGGTCCCTTCCAACTCTGCCATTCTATTATTCTGTTCCTGATAGCAGTCCTCCAGTATTTGAGGGGCTGCCCCAAAGAAGAGGGAGTCAAGCTGGTCTCCAAAGCCCCTGAAGGCAGGACGAGAAGCAACGGATGGAAACTCATCAAGGAGAGAAGCAACCTGGAACTAAGGAGGAATTTTCTGATAGTCAGAACGATTAACCAGTGGAACAACCTGCCTCCAGAAGTTGTGGATGCTCCAACACTGGAAGTTTTTAAGAAGAGACTGGACAGCCCTTTGCCTAGGATGGTGTAAAGCTCTTCTGGAAAACCTCAAGGCATGGAGCAGCCACAACTGCTGAAGTTCAATAAAGATCTCCAAGGTCGCTTCCAGTCCTAGGAGTCTTATATTCTAACCTAACCCTTCTTAGAAGAACCTCAATAGTAGTAGTAGTAGTAGTAGTAGTAGTTCTTCTTCTTCTTCTTCTTCTTCTTCTTCTTCTTCTTCTTCTTCTTCTTCTTCTTCTTCTTCTTCTTCTTCTTCTTCTTCTTCTTCTTCTTCTTCTTCTTCTTCTTCTTCTTCTTCTTCCTCCTCCTCCTCCTCCTCCTCCTCCTCCTCCTCCTCCTCCTCCTCCTAAGAAATGTTGGCCAAGTACCGTGTTTCTCGGAAAATAAGACCAGGTTCCCCCCCCCTTTTTTTTCACCTCCAAAAGAGGCACCAGGTCTTATTTTTGTGTGTGTGTGTCTTTTTTTTACTCACCTCCAGCACCGACAGCACCACCCATCCGGTCCACTTCTTCTGGGGCTGAAGTTCTGCAGCTGCATTCGGGTCTGCATTTCACAGTCAGGCCTCTCTGGAAGGCCTCTGCAGCCGAGGACCGAGCTCTGGATTCAATCCATAGCTCAATTCTCAGCTGCGGTGGCCTTTCCAGAAATGCAGGCCCAGCTGCAGAAGACGCCACAGAAGAAGAAGTGGGCTAGCGAGGAGAGGCAGACTGCAATGATAAGTGGGTACGAAGGGCAAATCCACACTCCTACCCTATCTTGATTTTTAGGTGTGCGCCTTGCCCCCAAACTAGGGCTTATTTTCGGGGTAGGGCTTACTTTTGGGGAAAACAGAGGTACCTTACCGATGACGGTGGGCTCCAGATCCACGAAGACCGCCCGTGGCACGTGCTTCCCGGAGGCCGTCTCACAAAAGAAGGTCTCGAAAGAGGAATCCACTTGCTCGGTCTCGCTCTTCGGAGGGGCCGGGGTGCCCGGGATGGTGCCATCCGCCTGAATCCCGTGCTCCAGGCAGTAAAGTTCCCAGCAGGCGTTCCCCATTTGGACTCCCGCCTGACCGATGTGGATTGACAGACATTCCCTCTGGGGAAAAAGGGCAGACCGGGGTTTCAACATGTATCGTCAGCAATTTCAAAACATCTGCATTTCAATGTTTCTGCCTCATGTAGATTGTTTAAGTTTAAGCGTACAGGTAGTCCTCGCCTTAACGACCATAATGGAGTCTGGAATGTCTGCGGCGGGGCGTGGCCGTCGTAAGTCCAAGCAGCCACGCAGCCAAGTCGATTTTACGGTTTTTGGAGGGCAGTTGCGAAGCGAGTGGCCCGGTGATAAAGCGAACGTGGCGGTCGCTAAACGAAACTGAGCAAGCCGAGTCAATATAGGTAGTCCTCGACTTACGGCAGTTCGTTTAGTGACCGTTCAAAGTTACGGCACTGAAAAAAGCGACCGTTTTTCACACTTGCGACCGTTGCAGCTTCTCCAGGGGTCACGTGAACAAAATTCAGACGCTTGGCAACTGACTTGCACTTATGACGGTTTGCAGTGTCCTGGGGTCATGTGACCCCCCCCTTTGCGACCTTCTGACGAGCCAAATCAATGGGGGGACGCCAGATCCACTTAACAACCGTGTTGCTAACTTAACAGCTGCAGTGATTCACTTAACAACTTTGGCAAAGAAGGTCGTAAAATGGGGGTAAAAGTCACTTAACAATTGTATTGCTGAGCAACAAATTTGGGGCTCAGTTATGTGTGTGTGTGTGACAGCCGGAACTTTGAAACCAAGTCACAAAAACCTTTGGGGGTCCGTCATAACTTCGTATAGTCGCTAAGCGAGGACTAGCTGTAGGGGGTAAAGAGACGAGACTAGAAACCAAGAGTTCTTGAATTCTAGTCCCGCCTTAGGCACAAAGCCGCCGGTCCCCTTGGGCCGGCCGCTTTCTCTCCGCCCCAGGAAGGAGGCAATGGCAAACCTCTTCTGGAAAAACTTTGCCAGGAAAACTGCAGGGACTAGTCACCTGGAGACAAAACCCTAATTGGAAGGCGGTAGGCAGGCAGGCAGGCAGCCAGACGCGATTTGAAGGCTGATTTCGCAGGAATTATAATTCCCGCTGACGGAGGCCAAATGTGCTTTCCTTCGCTTTTCTTTTTTTTTAAAATAAACGTTTTATTTCATTCAAAAGTTAAAATACAAACTCAAAAAAAAAAAAGGCAAAGGCAATAACGAACCAACCAACCAACCAAACAAACAAACCAAAAAGAAATTTTTCACATTTTAAAAGAGCGATAAGACGAAGGTCTGAGTTTCTTCTGTTAAGCTACTCTGGATGTCCTTGGAAAGACGGAAGATTAAAGCTGTTAGTAAGAAAAGTTCTTTCCTGCAAAGAGTTTAAGACGAGAAGCTAAAGCAGCACAGACAGCGTAAGAGGCAAGCCCTAAAAGATTTTGGAATGCAATTCAATTTTAATTGGTTTTTTTGAAATACAGGAAAGCCTCGACTTACAACAGTTCTTTTAGCGACCGTAATTTTATTTTTATTTTTTTTTAATACAGGTAATCCTCGACTTACAAAAGTTCCTTTAGTGACCGTTCGAAGTTACAACAGTGCTAAAAAAAAAGTAACATACGACCATTTCCCCCACTCATGCACCCCTGTGCTCACGTGATCAAAATTCGTACGCTCCTATTTATGACCGTCGCAGAGCCCCAGAGTCACGCGATCCCCTTTGGCGACCTTCCGACGAGCAAAGCCAATGGGGAAAGCCAGATTCGCTTAACGACCGGGTGACCAGCTTAACAGCTGCAGGGACTCACTTGACGACGGTGGCAAGACAGGTCGTAAAATAGGGCACAATTCATTTAACAACAATAAAGTTGGAAGGGACCTTGGAGGTCATCTAGTCCAACCCCCTGCTCAGGCAGGAAATTTGGAAAAATGGCTGTCCAGTCTCTTCTTAAAAACTTCCAGTGTTGGAGCATTCACTGCTTCTGGAGGCAGGTAGTCCCACTGGTTAATTGTTCTAACTGTCAGGAAATTTCTCCTTAGTTCTAGGTTGCTTCTTTCCTTGGTTAGTTTCCATCCGTTGCTTCTTGTCCTGCCTTCGGGCGCTTTGGAGAATAGCTTGACTCCCTCTTCTTTGGGGCAGTCCCTGAGATACTGGAAGACTGCTATCATGTCCCCCCTTCTTTTCATTAAATGAGACATCCCCAATTCCAGCAACCATTCTTAATATGTTTTAGCCTCCAGTCCCCTGATCATCTTTGTTGCTCTTCTCTGCACTCTTTCTAGAGTCTCAACATCTTTTTTACATCGTGGTGACCCAAACTGGATGCTGTATTCCAAGTGTGGCCTTACCAAGGCCTTGTAAAGTGGTATTAACACTTCACGTGATTAATGAGCAACAAGCAGGGTGTAAATGTGATAAGATACGAAAGATGGATTGCAAACCTATAGAGAAAAAATCTGCAGAGAATAAATAGCGTGGATATAACGACATTTGGCTACCATTCTTTTTCTTTTAGTTTGTACCTGAACTATTCTTTTTTTAAAAAATTTTGCTTACTAGGTTTTTTTTTTTTTGCAATTTGCATAATACTGCTCGACTCCAAAAAGGGGAAAAAAAAACAGGGGTGTGTTTGGTACGGAGAACATCTGTGAATTATTTAGTCGCACTTGAGAGTCTGCCAGAATAGATTTTTCAAAGAATGTTTTTATCGTGCCGAGTTCCAAGCTGACTCCTCAATTCTAAAACCCAAGTTTTCTTGCAATTATTACTACTTTCAGGAGTAGTAACTACTTGTTGCATCTAAGATCTTTCTCTAGGATGCTGGCATTTCAAAGAACGACTCTCGACAGATAGTCCTCCAATTTACGAAGAATTCAGAACTTCTGTTGCTAAAAAACAACAGAGGTTGTTAACTGGGTCACAGCTGATCTCACAAGCTCTTCCTGCAATCAAGAAGCGAGGACAGGGAGTCCTCAACTTACGACCACATTGGAGCCCAACATTTCCGTTGCTAAGTGAGACACTTGAGTGAGTTTTGCTCCATTTCACGACCTTCCTTGCCACGCTTGTGAAGCGAATCACGGCAGTTGTTAATAATACAGTTGTTGTGAATCTGGCTTCCCCCACTGACTTTGCTTGTCAGAAGGTCGCACAAGGAGATCACGTGACCCCGGGACGCGGCGACCGTCGTAAATACGAACTCGTTGTCAAGCGTCCGAATGTAAATTACATGATAATGGGGAGGCTGAGATGGTGGTAAGTGCGAAAAACGCTCAGAAGTCATTTTTTTCAGTGCTGTTATAACAGGTGTCTTCAAACTTGGCCCTTTGGTGACTTGTGGACTTCAACTCCCAGAATTCCTTAGCCAGCATGGACCATATAAGTCAGGGGTCTTCAAACTTGGCCCTTTTATGACCTGTGGACTTCCAGAATTCCTCAGCCAGCATGGACCATATAAGCCAGGGGGTCTTCAAACTTGGCCCTTTGATGACCTGTGGACTTCAGCTCCCAGAATTCCTCAGCCGGCATGGACCATATAAGTCAGGGGTCTTCAAACTTGGCCCTTTTATGACCTGTGGACTTCCAGAATTCCTCAGCCAGCATGGACCATATAAGCCAGGGGGTCTTCAAACTTGGCCCTTTGATGACCTGTGGACTTCAGCTCCCAGAATTCCTCAGCCGGCATGGACCATATAAGTCAGGGGGTCTTCAAACTTGGCCCTTTCATGACTTGTGGACTTCAAAGCTGGCTGAGGAATTCTGGGAGTTGAAGTCCACAAGTCTTCAAGTGGCCAGGTTTGAAGACCCCTGCATTACAACTACAAACGGTCACACCTAGGCAGGAAAAACCAAAGGGACAATTATAGATTAGGCGAAAAAACTGGCTCAAAAACACCAACTGTGAGATGGACCTTGGAGTCCTGGCGGACGATCACTTAAACCATGAGCCAGCCGTGTGCGGCGGCAGCCCAAAAAGCCAATACAATCCTGGGCTGCATAAACAGAGGCCTAGAATCAAAATCAGGTTTTTATAAATCCTTAGTAAGGCCACACCTGGAATCCTGCATCCAGTTTTGGTCCCCACGTTACAAAAAAAGATGTGGAGATTTTGGGAAAAGTGCAAAGAAGAGCAACTAAGAAGATGATTAAGGAACTGGAGACTAAAACACATGAAGAACGATGGCAGGAATTGGATATGGCCAGTCCAGAGAAAAGAAGGACTGGGGGGGGGGGAGACATGATAGCAGCGTTCCAGTATTTGAGGGGCTGCCCCAAAGAGGAGGGGGTCCACTTATTCTCCAAAGCACCAGAAGGCAGGAGATGAAGCAACGGATGGAAACTAATCCAGGAGAGAAGCAACCTGGAACTAAGGAGAAATTTCCTGACAGTGAGGACAATTAACCAGTGGAACAGCTTGCCACCAGAAGTTGTGGGTGCTCCATCACTGGAAGTTTTTAAGAAGAGACTGGACAGTCACATATCTGAGATGGTATAGGTTCTCCTGCTTGAGCGGGGGGCTGGACTAGAAGACCTCCAAGGTCCCTTCCAGCTCTGCTCTATTCTATTCTATTCTATTCTATTCTATTCTATTCTATTCTATTCTGTTCTGTTCTGTAATTCTATTCTATTCTATTCTATTCTACATTCCATTATTCTATTCTATTCTATTCTATTCTATTCTATTCTATTCTATTCTATTCTATTCTATTCTATTCTATTCTATTCTACATTCCATTATTCTATTCTATTCTATTCTATTCTATTCTATTCTATTCTATTCTATTCTATTCTACATTCCATTATTCTATTCTATTCTATTCTATTCCCTACATCGTGCGACGTATCGGGACTGTTTTTCCATTGCCGGCAATGGGGTGGGTACGGCTTCTGCACGATGTGTCCAGCCCGCAGGCTGGCAGTTTGACACCCCCGGTATAGGGTCTCCTGCCTGAGCAGGGGGTTGGACTAGATGACCTCCGAGGTCCCTTCCCGCTCTATTCTGATTGACTGAAGAATAACAAAGTTGGAAGGGACCTTGGAGGTCATCTAGTACTACCTGTAACCTCCACATGC